CGTCCCAGGCTCTCTTATGTTTGCTCTTTAAACGTGTTTGGAGAAGTTAACCTATTCCGATGTCTCTTAGTGAAATAAGTAAGGTACGCAGCGGATCCTTTCTGATCATTTTGAAATGACAATAAGACGTTTATTGAGCAAAAATTGATAATATGTTTATTTACATTCCGTTTAAGAACTTTTCAGTTAACCATTTCCGAGTTCGCTTGTGCCTCTGTTTCAAAACGAGTCTTGGTGTAAAACCTTTTATATCGAAATCAGTTCGATTTGCATGGAAAAGAACCTGTAGGGGGAACACATTTTCGCACAGACTCCGCGTTTCGACACTGAGGCAAAAGGCACTCGGAAATGGCCTATTCGAATATCTCTATGTCTACATGCCATTCGATATGAAAAATAATTAGGCTTATCAAAATTGGACTCTGCCAATGAACTCAGCCAATATTTGCAAATTGGACAGCATTGTGGTCTTTAATTATTTCGTTTTACCTAGAGACTATGGTACGGGAAACAAATAATCGTATGAAATTCCGGGTTGTGATGTAATTACAGTCAAAACTATCTATAGCATGTTTCACCCGCACTACATAAAAATAGATATTTAAAAAACAAAGATATGCTGTAAGAAAAAAATAATTCTTTCTTAATAAATAATCACTTTTACCAGTAAACATTTGAGTCGCAAACTTAGCGTGTAAGAGACAAAATTGGCTGATTATACTTAAACTTGGCCATGAACGTTAACTTTTAGTAGAATGAAAAAACTATAACTCAGGTTAATTTTAAGAAGATATTTTACATCCCTATGTCAATCGAAGGAGAAAAAAATAAGGCCAGGCTCATGGCTCTCAGTATTAATTTTAACTCTGGTTACTGTAGCATGAAGCGACTTGGAGTATTTCTACTCCTCCCTGGACGGGGCCGTCGCAGGTTATTACCAAACATTCTGTCAAGTTTTCCTAAACAATTCGCCGATACATATGCATCGATCTGGGTGGAGAGAGGCACTGTAAGAGTGAAGACTCTTGCCTTAGGACACAAAGCAAATCAACAATAATGGTTTGATTTCGTAAACGAATCACACGATAAATGACAGATGACAAGGACTTATAAGGATAGAAGATGGCTAGAATGCTAATGAATTGCTATATTGTTCTATATTGCAAATGCGAGGCTTACGTTGACGGAATTCCTGTCAAATCTTTACACTTAGAGCAGCTTCTCCTTGTTGTTCTTTTTCGCCCTTGCGCGGGCATTTTTCTTCTCGCACGTTCTTTCGAGCACCACACGAAACGAACGCTCGTGGACTAGAAATTCTTGTTGTAGCAAGGTCTAGTTTGCCACAATTGACAGTTTAGCGCGCTAGCCTGGTGATAGTACAAATAGCACATGCTATTTATGCAACTACAGATACAAACATCCAGACCACACAAGGGGATAACTATCCACCAGATAAATCACGTATCTAGGGGTCGAGAGTTCATAACAAAAATACGCGACCCATTGCAGAGTGTTATCCATTGGATGGCGTTATCCACTCTTCGAACAACTGGTTCCAGGTATGGCGACGCCTTATTTAAGTCTGATCGTCTTCAAGGTTCATTAGACGAGACGAAAGTACATCAACAAGGCGTCCCCTGCTAGTTTGAATTCGTAGAACACTGTGTATACCTTTCAATGATTTTAATCGTGTGGATCCAACTCGACAAAGTTAATTACAAGACCAGCTTGTCTGCGAAAGAACTACGTAAATTTGCTTGAATACGAAGAGTGTTTTAGTAAGTGATGCTTCCCTCATACAACTGCATAAGCCAGTACTTCACTTATGCTGCTTATTTCGTCCTCATTAGCTGTCCCCGTTTCTTTTCCTTTGATTTGTTTGGGGCCATTATCAGTAGCTACCTTCTCTTCTGTCAATTCGTTAATAGGCGCTGTGCTATCACGTGACAATTGGGACGTCGTTCTTCCATTGGTCAAACCGAAAGTGGCGCCATGATTCACGTGACCCTGGTCTTGACTCAACTGGGTTTCTGAGGTGGCCTGGTTAGGAGATGGTCCCGGATGTGTGACGTACTGGTCAACCGTTTCGTGATTGGTCACTACTGTGTTTATTTCTGATTTGAAGAAAATAATATACAGTTTAGGGATAAAAACACAGCCCATACAGGCAAACACTGCGAAGAACAACGTGAAAGCGACCACAAGGATGCGGTTGTTTCCCACAACAAAGCGATACGTCGGAATGAAGGCTACGAGAAGAATGCAGAGAGCAATGGTGGAGAAACTCATCGACTTCGCTTCGTTGAAATTGTCCGGTAAACGTCTCTCGCGGAACGCTAACAAAGTTGCCAGCACAAGAACAACAATAGGAAAGGAAAAGGCGATGATATGAGCTACGGGAAAGCTCTCGTAACACTCAAGCAACCGAGTGTTGTCGTCCTGGTTTTGATACCGAACCACGGACAGTGACGTCGCCTGCCAAGCGATTATCAAAACAGCTTGAAGCAGAACTACCACGCCAACCTCAAGGAGCTGTAAATAAGCCGTGCGCATGTCCGTTAGATGCGAAACCGCTGACTGGAGCAACTGCGTTGCAGTCTTTGACTTGGCAAGAAAAAAAGCTGCGTAAAGGACGAATATGATGAGAAGTAGGACACTTGCCGCGATACAGGAACCATCAGTTGGTTTTATAGTCACTTGTGTAATGCTCGTGATAAACGACAAGTACAGTGTGATAAAAAACAAGATCAACAGGTATGGGCTCGACCACATAATAACAGGCGTGTTCCGTTCACGGAGGAAAATAACTGCCACAACGGTCAACACAGCAATACCAACACAACTCACGGTTATAATGGAAATTCCCGCGGGATCCGAGGACTTCGTATAGACTACTTCACGTACGATGCACTGTGTTCTCTCAGCGTTTGCATAATGCGAGTCATCGCAAACCGTGCAAGACAGGGAACCCGACTTAAAGCTGACGGTGCCCTTGTCACATTTTTGACAGTTCCAGCAGCATTCTGATTGGCCGACGACTCGCTCGCCGGGTTGACATTCGCGGAAGCAGGTCGACAGTGGTTTTCTTCCAGAATTCCACTTGATTAAAGTTTCATTAACACTAAAACTTGATTGTTGGTTATTTTTACTCCAATAACCCACGTCAACATATTGAAAACGGTTTTCATTGTTCAGCTGAAGATTCCTTATTACATAGTCACTGGCAATTCGCTCGCCATCTTTGTCAAATTGGACCTTGTTGTAATCAACTCCCAGAAATTCGACGCTTGACGCAAACTCGAACAGCGTCTCTGGTGTAATGGGCAGAGTTAAGTTCGGACACCGCCCCAGAGGCCGCGATGCATTGCAAGTTAAAATGTCGTGTATTGCGTGAGCAATGACGAAAACAGCGTCAATAACATTTGCAACGAAGTCTTTACCAAGTTCGTGGTCAGGGGGGAGCACTGCATCAAGATTACACGTCTTCTTAAGTTGTAACGGTTTAGAGTCTGAACTAACTGCCGCGTTTTGGAGAACTTCACAATTCAAATTTTCCTCCAAGTATCTAGTAAACCACGAGTTGTTCTGCGACAGCGCATCGCGAATCGACAATTCTCGAACAAACCTTTCGAACTCTTCCACTTGCTTGGATCTTATAGAGAAACTAAACAGCCCCTCTAGCATAGCCTCGCTAACGTTCATGTTGGCAAGCTCGGAACTGAGCGAATTCCACCCATCGCTCGTCACCCACGTGCGATCTGTAAGCTCCATTTTTTCCGCCTGTTTCAACAATCTTTCTCCCTGTTCGAAGTAACTGAAAACAACCACAACTTTGGCTCGTTCTGTGCTTTTTAATCGAAATAGCGTGTCTTCGATTTGCCGATCAGCGTTCGGCGAACCAAATGCAATGTATTCGTCATTAGCAATGCACACACTCAAGTTCTTGGCAGCGGTTTTGAACGCTGCAGCTCCCATTTTTCCGTAGTCGTCGTCGCTTGCGATTAGAAACACGTAATTCCATTGAAAGTGATGAACAAATTCTGCCATCGCCTGAGCTTGATATTCGTCAGAGGGCACAGTTCGAAGAAACGAGTTATAGCGTGTCTTGTCACCAAGAATGCGACTCGTTGAGGCATAACTGATCTGAGGTATACCGTACAAGCCCAGCAATCTGGCCACAGGAATGGAAATCCACGACACGGCTGGTCCTATTACCGCGGAAATTCGCTTATCGCCCGGGCGGGCATCACTGGCGTTTTGACAACAATCGTCGTGGCCTTTGCAAATCGAATTGGGACGATATTTCGACACGATCTGAATTGCGTAACTCATCGATTTCGGGATGCTCTCGCATGTGTTCTCGATTTCGTAACCAATGGTTTTGTTTGGTAAAAGTGAAGTCGAATTGTTGATCTTGTTCACTGCGTAGAGCATTGCCATCATCCACGCGACGCCATTTGAAAACAAACGTTCGCATTTTCCACCGTCTTGCGTCGTTATCGGAAATAATCCTTTTAGCATTATATCTCCATTTTTCCAAATCCACTTGTGTTCATCGCCGTGTTTATGAAATTGCTGATATGTAAATGAAAAGAGAGAGACGAAGAAAATAACACAGCAGCCAGAGCTCCACATTGTCTCGAATCCGCACGTAAATG